GGATACGAGTATAAGGTCATCATCATCATCCGGTGCCTTGCCGACTGACGTGGGCGACCATGGACCTCCACTTCACTCTGTCTTGCGTTGCAGAGGTGGTGCCTGTCGTGCTCGCTGTTCCCAGCCATGTTGTCAACCTGTCCAGTATCTTTTTCCTCTGTATGTCTCTGCGTCTCTTTCCATCAAACATGCTTGTTGTTACAGTATTCTCAAATGCTTCTTTCTGTATTGTGTGTCCAGTGAACTTTGCCTGTCGCTTTCGTATATTCGTCATAAGCTGCCGTCTGCAATTTACTTCAACCAAGACTTCTTCATTTGTTTTTAAAGGCATTCTACAAAGTTAGTACGACAAGATTATCGATATGCTAGAAGTCTTCAGTATTGATAGGGAGGACTTATGGATTATCAAGAATGTGTACTAGGAACAAACCGCTGCAAAAAGAATAGGAAACGACATCAGCGAATTCATACAGATTAAAAGAAGAGTCAGACAGGGATGTGTACTTTCATCAAATTTGTTCTCCCTGTATAGTGAAAATATTATGAGACACATAGAAGAAATTATAGGTATTTTGATAGGGGGACATAACGTAAACAATTTAATATACGCAGACGACACAGTCCTAATAGCAGAAGATGAAGGACACCTACAGGATCTATTAAATGTCATCGTACAAGAGAGTGACTACATGGGCCTAAGCCTAAACATCATGTCAAGATGACTGAAACAATGGTGATAAATAGAAAAGCTCCAATCCCAGCCTACAATATCAAAATCAAAGGTACCACCCTAAAGCAAGTACAATATTTTAAATATTTGTAGTATAAAGGTAGACTGAAAGAAAATGCATGTAGCCAGCCTACTATCAGAATACCATCGGGTTACCATCTGTATACTGATTATGTATCTAGCTTTGACGTTATTATCGTTAACAATAATACATAATTTTTGTTTATTTATATCAGATGCGAATGACTGTAGATCGAGGTCTGTTTCAGAGCATAGCATAAGCAAATGCATTTATTATGTGTGTGCGTGTGTGTGTGTGTGTGTGTGTACATGTGTGTGGCAGATAGGAGAGTATGTGTGTACCTGAATAAGCTTTAAATTAAATACATGTATGACATTGGTAAAACATTACAAAGAAAACCAAGGCAGACGCAGGCATTTACCTCTGTGTCTGCAGGTTCCGTCATTATGAAAAGTGAAATGCGTTATAATGTCCTCTCTGAATCTCAGCCTATAGTTGTCTCAGCAGGATGTCGCTACGCACAAGGGAGATGTGTGCTGGGGTGATTAGGTGCACTCCCCGTGAAGCACAACCTGGGGGGAGGAGGAGGG